CTTTCAAAGGGCAGTTCATTTTCCGCATCAAAAATATCCGAAGTATTACCTAAGAACTCATTCAAAGAAAACTCATTGATAATAGAGTACCAAGTCACAAGATTTCTTACAAGCATTTTATCAAACACCTTGTATGCACAATCAGGATATTCATAAGTATCATAAAATGCACCAATAACTCATTTTAAACCAAGTTTTAATTGCAACACAATTACAGAATTCATAACAAAAATTAATCAACTAAGTACAAGGATTTTGTCAATACAAACAAGATAATGATAAACAACAACACTGTGTAAAATTCGAAAATACTGACAAAATTTAAGAAAATTATATTCGGAAAAACCTAACATAACTTTTGTTGATTATTTACCTATATAATCTATGAAGCTTGTTGATTCTAGTTGCTGCTGAAATCTGACAAAAATCGAACGGAATAGTGTTCGAAATCCTTGAATCTCATTGAAATTGAAGCTCGTAGTTTCTTTACTCTGTTTTTCTGAGTAGCAGCAAGTATATGGATGAAAAGTTTGGATTCATTAAAGCTGTTGATATCGTTTGATCCTAAGGCTTAGATTTGTTATCATATATTAGGATTGTTCTCACATAAAGGGTGGTTCTCACCGGATCCCGACCCTATATATATATATATATATATATATATATATATATATATATATATATATATATATATATATATATATATATATATATATATATATATATATATATACACTCTAATCCCCAAAAGTATTCCTAGATTAAACTTGTCATCGTCTCATTAAAAATTCGAAAAAAATTGTGTAACACGCGTCCACACAAAGGATGGCGATGATTTCGAAGACGGCGGAACCGATGACTTCCGGCGAAACTACGACGTCTTCACATTGACTTATCAGCGCCATTCTCGCCGGATCCTTTTGTCATCGTCGAGTTCGTCGCTAGAGATAGTGCTGGGTTGGATTGTTGTGGTTTGTCTGGGACGATGTACTTGCCGATGGGGAGTCCTACGCCATTTCCACCCAGATTTAACAATGGAACATCAATCAAGCTCCGACCCTTGGCGACTGCCCAAGTCAAGTCGGCGGTGAGTGAAAAATCAAAATCAAGAGTTAGTATTGAAGTTGGTAGCAAATTTGATGTAGAGGAAAGAGGTAAAGAGCCATGACAATGGAGGTAAGGAAGGAGAGAGGAAAAGAGTTGTAAGCCTCTAAAATGTTAATGTCAGGTATTAGATTATTATTGTCAAGTATTAGATTATTATTGTCAGTTATTAAATTATTATTGTCAGGTATTAGATTATTATTGTTAGGTATTACAATATTAATGTCAGTATTAGATTATTATTGTTAGGTATTAAGATTATTACTGTCAGACATATTGGACTAACGGTGAGTTCGATCTCACGCAAAACCTTTCCTTAAAAAATTTCCCTCTTAAAAAAAAATTGAAGTTAATTTTATAAGGTAAAAGATAAGATAGAAAATTCTTACTACGTATTTAACGTTTACAGTCCTATATTCATTCAATTTTTGACTACGTAGAAAAGACGAAAGGTTTGTTAAGTTTGATAAAATTCATCGACTAAGTAAATCATTATAGAAAATATAAAAAGTAAATCATCAAACAAAATTCTTTTTCCATATTATGCATAAAGGTAATTCAACCATGTATAAAATAAAAAATCTTCTTCCATATTATGCATAAAGATGATTCAACCATGTATAAAATGAATAATCCGAGCATAGTTCGAGCTTTAACTTGTTATAAGAAAAGATAGCGAGATTAATATTTTATAGAAATGTAGTACAGATTTGAGTGGGGATCATGGGAGGAGACAAGTATAATATTATAATTGGAAAATGTAAAAAAAAAAAGTGTAACACTTAAAATATGGACAATTGACAAGTGTAACATTTAAAAAAACGTAAGGAGTAACATTTTTGTTGATCTCAATTGTCATAACTCATAAGTCATAATCCATGAAGCTTGTATTCTTTTTGCCATGTATAAACTTACAATATAATGGATGAAAAAGGAAAAAAAAAATCTATACTTTATTAAATTCTACTCTCTATAAATAGTCCATAAGAAATTAGTTTATGTAGATAGATTGATTCATTAGATTTTTCTACAGTTTAATTAAATAAAGAAAAGATTATACTCACTTTGTTTCTATATAATGGACAAATTTGACTTTTTTTTCCCTCGATTTTAACGACGGAGTAGTGGAGCAATAAGTCTTAGCTGCACTCTAGTGCAGCTAGAATAGCTGCACCACTGTCTATGAAATGAACATGTAGTAAAAAAATATGTACACGTAAAAAAAATGAACATTCAGTAATAATAAATGAACACATAAAAAAAATGAACATTTAGTAATTAAAAAGTGAACATGCTAAAAAAAAATATGATAATTCAGTATTAAAAATAAACATGATAACCACAAAATTGCTGGGCCACGACCTTAAAAATGAACATTTAGTGTAAAAATAATTATGAACACGTAAAAATAAAAAAAAAATAATAAAAAAAAAAACATTTATTTATAAAAAATGAACATGTCAAAAATAATTATGAACATTAGTATATTAAAAGTGAACATTTATCATACAATAATAAAATAGCGACTACACCTAATAAAATTAATATTTCATAAAAATATATGAACATATTAAAGAAAATGAAAATTTAGTATAAAAAAAATGAACACGTGAAAAAAATTATGAACATTTATTTAGTATATTAAAAATGAACATGATTTTCTTATATTCATATATATTTAAATTCATTGTATATTATTATTAACAGAAAATAAAGATAAAATTAATCATTAAAATATGTTCAGTTTTTATGTACTAAATGTTCATTTTTATTGTACTAAATGTTCAATTTTAAAGTACATCGTGTTCATTTTTTTGCCAAAAATTATACACAAATATTAGCAACTTAATTAAAAAATTCGAAATTCATAATAATAGACAAATTAAAGATGCAGCAACTCAATAATTCATCACAAAAACTCATTAATTATATTAACTAGATTAGTGCCCGTGCGATGCAGGATTGTAAACTTGTAATAATTTTTTTTCCATAATTAATTGTGGATATAGTACAAAAATGAGGCAACTCATGTGGAATAAATAAATGCAACGCATATAGAAAAATTAAATAATAAGACAAAAATTATTAAAACTACGATTGAGGAAAAAACAATCTATACTAATATATTAAAAAGAGTCTCTAAAAATTTCTATGCGCCATGTAAACCCCCTTCTGCCACGTCTCTTACTGAACTCCTCAATATGCCATAGAAGGATCGAACACTTGACCTCTTAGAAGAAAAGTTATTGTATAACCATCTAGGCTAATTGTTAAGTATGCTTTAACATTTCACAATAAATAATATTATACTACAAAGTATTGAAGACACATACTACATACAAACTATTAGATGCTCTTATAAATTTGCAGTTGCACAACTATAAAAGTAGTAACTGGGGCAACGCCCGGGCTACTCACTAAGTCACTAGTTATTGTTGATTAGTTGTGTTGAAAATATTTAGAAGTAGTATACAATATATTACATAATTGATGCATATTATTTCCCAATAAAACTATACAATCTAGTAACTATATGACTAAAGACTTATTAATAAATGTTTTTTAATAAACATAAAAATATTACTCAAACAACAGAATAAAATCTACAATAAAACTATTAGCACAAGATATATGTAAATATACAAATTACAAATAATATATTACATACAAAGTATAATTGTTAACTTAATCTTACAAAATTTAATTTATACTTCATATTAGAAATATCTTAACTTAATCTTACAAAACAACATTACACATACAAAGTACAATTGTTATCACTTAACTTTTTAAATTGTTACACCATTTTTTGTTTTCATTTTTATTTAAGCGCTACACTTCCTTATCTTTGGTAAATTAACTACCATTGAATTAAAGAGTATAAATATTATTATCGTAGTAAGTTGCTTATTTATTTAAAAACTGATTTAATTTTAATAATATACAACTGTACGAAATATTTTTTGGTTAAATTCGTGCATCGCACGGGTACTAATCTAGTACTCCGTTTAAAACATGTTTAGGCGGTAATAATAGTATATTGTACCTAAACCAGTGACTCACTTTTTCTATAATTAAAAAAGAGTTGGAATAATATTTTAGGTAAATGTGTATGGAAGAAATACGAATACGAAATAAAAAGAAATACATTTTATTTAAAGATAATATATAAGATTTAGTTAATAATATTATAGTTGTATTATAAAAATATTCCAAAAATAAAAGTTTTTTTTCCTAAAAGGGGTGGGGGAGTTTTGGAGGGAAAATACAGCATTAGGAAGTGACACGTGTCATTCCTAGTGTCTGTTTTAGTATTATGTTATTGATATTCATAAAAATTTCAAAAATTCAGTTGAAATAGTCTAATTTACTAGATTAATCAAAAAATCAATTGAAATTCATCAAATTCCTCAAATTGAAATTCACCAATTATAAAATCAGAAAAATCAATTACAAATTCAGCCCAAATCTAACCTAGTAAAAATTAATTAAAAATCAACAACACAAAAACTAACCTACATTGATGATCTCTTTTGAATAACAACCAAATCCATAATAATGTAGAAAACAAACGGAAAAGAAAATAGTGACGATTGCGACGAAGATGATGGAGAATGTTACAATGGTGAGGAATTAGAGAATAACCAAAGTAGGAGCATAAAAGAAGTTTAAAGATTGAGGGAAAGTGAGGTAAGAAAGAAAATTTACTTATAAAGAAAGGGGAATAAAAAAAAGGAGAGAGAAAATTTTGAATGGAGAAGAAAACAGAGAGAGAAAATTAATGGAGGTAAGGAAGAAGAAGAGAGAGAGGTAAATATAAGGAAGGGAGAAAAAACATATGTTCGTTTTTGAAGTATTATTTGTTCATATATATGGTTATTAAAGTTAGTTTAGCTGCACAAGTGTATAGCTAAGGTACCCATATTTTATTACTGGACGGACCTGCCTATTTTTTTATGGGCCGGGTTAAGGTTTTTAATGGGAGCTCCAACCCATTGAAGTATTGAACTGCTCTGATTGTGAATAAGAAAAGAAAAAAAAACCGCAGTTCTCCATTGAAGCGAACTCAACGTTCTCCATTTCTGATACTTATATCCCCCATTGAAGCAGCCTCTGAGGTATTTTCTTGTTTCTATTTGTAATCATCCTGTGAATTTTACAATATAGGGTGTATCGTTGATACTAATTTAATTTAATTGTTGGTGTAGTAAGTTTAGGGTTCGAAAATTTGAAGTATTGGTTCTAATTACTAAGATGATAACCAACAATTGAATCAAATATGTCTTTCTTCCCTAAAATTATTGATGTGATAATACAATCAAATTTTGTTGCTAATGTGTTGCAGAACCATTTAATATTAGAATTGAATTATCAAATTAGATTGTGATTTTTCTGGGTTGAAGTTTTGTTTCATCTTATTATCGGTTTTATAGGGGTGCTAGTATAGGGTAGTCTTAGTACTGAAATAGCTGGGATTAGTTCTTAGTTGAATTAGTTTTGCTTCATTTTTTATAAAAAGCCTAAACTTTCCCTCACACCCACTGTGGGGGTCAAATTGGAGTGTATATGACAATTTCGAGATCAACCATACGAAGAATATTGGAGTGTATATGACAATGTTGCTCAAATTGAAGTGGATGGATTCTGTAAAAGAAGTGAACATTCATGAAAAATACAAACTTGTTGATATCAACCATATGAAGAAATGCTCAAAGTACAATCCGTTTGTGTTGTCATACCGAATATTTCAAGTGTATTTCGCACTCTAGCTGTGTTTAAGACGAAGGCTAGGTCACTCCTGTTGATTTAGTTGCACTGGAAAACATTGGTGATGATGAAGCTCAGAGTGACAATGATGTTGTCGAGGGGAGCCTTTCGGATGATGTAGAGGATGAGTCTAGTTTTGATTCAAGCGATAGTGGTGATGATGAGGACGATGATCTTGATTTGTTTTGTTGAGTGTAGTGCTCATCTGTATGACTTTATGTGTAATTTGACATTAATTTTGATATGTATAGATATATTAGTTTTTGAGATATGATGAATGCCTTTATTTTGTTTATGCCTGAGTTCTTAATTATTGTTGTGATATTTGTAAAACCTTTTGTTTGTGTGGATTAAGGAAACAAACCAAGCAAACATATTTGGGTGTTCATTCAATTTTTTAAACCCCTGTAACAGGTACAAATGTTAAGCCGATCACGAGGTTTTGGTGGCGGTAAGAAACGGGGTCGTAGCGGTTCCCAACCTATACCAGCGCAAAATTTACAGGACATCCAACTATTAGATGAAGATAAGACCCAGGATGCTGGTGCTATCGAAACCGTACATATGTTTAGCCGATCACGAGGTTTTGGTGGCGGTCAGAAACGGGGTCGTAGCGGTTCCCAGCCTGTACCAGCGCAAAACACACCCCTAATTGTATCATTAGATGAAGAGGAGACCCAGGATGCTGGTGCTACCGAAATCGTAGTTTCTGAGACTCAGTTCGAGCAAGGAGAATCCTCACCCAATTCCAGGGAGTTGGACCCCGATGGCTTTTGGTATGGTTTAAATTGGTTTGTGTGTGTTTTTGTAATTTAAAGATTGTAATTGTATAACGCACCCCTAATTGTTCCCTTTCCTTCTATGTCAGGTTTGATGACAACCGTGTTAGTCGGTCCATTACTGAAATATTTCAGGGATGCTTACGAGAACCGTATAGAAATTACACAGAGGTTGATGACGTCACAAAAGCACATTGGTGGACCTTGTTTGAGGTTAATTGCATGTTTTATCTTATTGTGAACAAATGATCAAAGTTTCATTATTGTTTAACTTTGAAGATGTGAATGTGGTTTGACATTGCAGCGTCAATTCACATGGAAACCTGAGTTAGACGCTGAGGTTAGGAGGGTTTACTCCATTAAAGCTGCAAAACGCTTGAGGGAGCTGTTTTACTATGTCACTCAGAAGTGCAATGGTAAGAAGCCGAAATGGCTAGCGGAACATGTACATGAAGGTTGGATGAAAATCCTTGAAGATCCTACATTCAAAGTAAAATCAGAGCAAGCTAAAAAGAACCGGAGGGGCGGTTCCCTATCTAATCCAATTGAACCGTCCCATTTCCAAGGTTCTATTTCAGCTAAGGAGCATGCTAGGCGGCTGGTAAGATCAAGATAGATATAACTCATTTTATAGTATCATTGTTGTTTTTATTAACTTTGAAGTACTTTAAATTACAAGGCTGTCAAGAGTAATGGCATACTTCCTAATGCGGGAGAGCTATACCTCAAAACACATTTTAAGGAAGTTCCTGGCAAAGGTAGTGTCCCATGCAGTTCAAAAGCTAAGCGAATCACGGTAATTAAGTTAACTTCGTGTTTCATACATTTATCCATTTATTTCTACTTTGGTCTTACGTGCTCCCAAACCTTATTAGTGTGGTATGTTTATGTGATTGCAAGTCAAAAACTCATAACTAAATATATGTATAACATGTCATGGGTGTTAGTTCTTTCTTTTGATTAAAAGCATGAAAAATAGGAAGGATACATGTCATTTTAGACCTTTTAATCCAATATGCCCTAAAAACTGAGTAACTTTGCATTTTCATGTGGTTTCAAGTCATACAAACTCATAACAAAATATATTTGGCATGTCGTGGGTGTAGTTCATTCATTTGGCTAAAAATATTGAGAATGGGGAAGGTAGAAGCCATTTTGGTCATTTATTTTTCCCTTTTTGGTCCTAAATGCCAACAAAGCTTAGTAATTTGGCCTTTTTATGTGGTTTTAAGTTACGAGTATAAAAACTCATAATTAAGCATGTTGGAGATGTTATGGGTGTTAATTCATTCATTTTGCTAAAAACATGGAAAGTATGGAGGGTAAAAGCCATTATTGTCCAATTTTGGTCCTATATACTCTCATAAGTGGTGTAAGATCATTCAATTGGCTAAATACATGGAAAATGGGAAAGATAGAAGCCATTTTGGCCGGATTTAAACCTTTTTGGTCCTATATGCTCCCAAAACTTAGTAACTTTGCATATTCATGTGGTTTAAAGTCATGGAAGCTCATAACTAAGTATATTTGGCATGCCATGGGTATTAATTTATTCATTTGACTAAAAATATGGATAATTGGATAGGTGGAAACCATTTTGTCCTTTCCTTTTTTTTAAAAAAAAAATACCTTTTTGGTTCTATATGCTCCTTATACTTATTAGCTTAGCATATTCATGTTTCAAGTCATAGAAACTCAACTAACTATATTTGGCATGTGATGGTTGTTAGTTCATTCATTTGATTAAAAAACATGGAAAATGAGAAGGATAGAAGTCATTTTGGCTATTTTATTTTTTGATCTTTTATGCTCTTAAATCTTAGTTTATTTTATATGTATATTCATGTGGTATTAAGTTATAGAGATTCATAACTAAGTATATTTGGTTAGTCATAGTTGTTAGTTCATTCTTTTCGCTAAAAACATGGAAAGTGAGAAAGGTAAAAGGCTATTTTGGCTATTTTTGACCCCTTTTTATCATAAATGCTCCCAATATTTAGTGTATTCATGTGGCTTTAATTCATAGAAAATTATAGCTAAGTATATTTGGCATGTCATGGATGTTAGTTGATTCATTTAATTAAAAACATGTAAAATGGGAAGGATATAAGCATTTTGGCCATTTTTCGAATCTAAATTTTTTTCACTTGTATTGTGGTTGTTAATATAATAGGAAGCCTACCTAAAGGCAGTGGCGGAATGTAAGGAGAAGGGTGTTCAGAAGGATCCGAATCAAATATTTTTGGATGCGGTCGGTGGTAAAAAGAGAGGGACGGTACCGGGATTGGGAACTAGTGTGGACATGTACTACGGTAACGGTAAGCGCTCCCGACTGGTTCGCGGCTCATCCAACACTTACTGCCCATCTGTTGCTCAATTGTCCTCTCAGATACAAAGGGAACGAGAAGAAAATGAGAGGAGGTGCCAGGAACTGAGCACACAGCATCAACAACAGTTGGAAGCTTACAAGGCACAGATGGAGAGACAATTGGAAGAGCGGCTGCAGAAGGAGCGTGAAGAGAATGAGAGGAGTCAGCGGGAGTACCTAGAAGAGATGAGGAAAATGATGATGAAAGTCATGTCGCAGTTATGTGGTGTGTCCGATTCTGCAAGTGTAAAGTGATTTTAGTTTGTTGTTGATACTACTTTATGCTACGACAGTAATGTTATTACTGTTGCTGATTCTACATTTATCGGCTAATAGTGTAAATGCATGGAATGATGACTTGTAATGTTACTGCCCATCTGACTGGCTTTAAAACTTTGATGGTGACATGATATGGGTGCTTCATTTTCCCAGCGATACCTCTAATCTACACCCAGAAAGACGCAGTTAACTCAGTCTGGATGCGAATTACAGCAGTTAAGAATATGTTTTATCATAGGATGCGAATTACAGCAGTTAACTCAGTCTGGATGCGAATTACAGAAGTTAAGAATATGTTTTATCGTAGGCTGATCACATTGAAACTGATAGACATTACTGTTGCTGTACAGCGCCTGTACTGCCGATGGATAAAAACTGTGCTACTGCATTAGGTTTGATGAAAATCGATGATTATTGAGTTTGCTGAGAAACTGAATGGAGATCAATTGAAAGTTATTACTTGTATTATTAGTTGGTGTTGATTTTATGTAGTTTTAAACTTGTAGTTAATAAAAACATCAAGGTGGAGGTGCTAAACTTAATAAACTTCATTTAAATTAATTTAATTATCAATATATAGATTCGTTTATCAATATCTAATTAATTTATCCAAAACATAGTCCTTATACTTCGTCTTGATGCAAGGAAACACGAGGCAATGCACAAGTATGGGAAGGGAACCAGTTATTGACCACCAAAGTGTAGTCAGTTGAAAGAGAACGAATTATGGTCCACCAAAGTGCGTTTGCTGAACAAGGCTTAGTTAGCCTAGTGATAAGGTTTTGGTCTCATGACTTGAACGTCTTGACCCTCTTCACCTCTTGCGATCAAATCCCCACTAGGAGTTGTTTAATGGAAATTGATTTTCTTATCCTTACATAAAAAAGGTGCTGATTTAATGAGATCCATCTCTTTATCTTGTAAAAAAAAAAAAAAAAAGTGACAGCTGTTATTCCTATATGTAGATAAGTACGAAGTATCATTTTACAAATATCCAATAATTGTTTTCGCGAAGGACCACAATAACCGTTGATAAATGGTCCTTCTTTGGCAAGTTAACTAGTGCATGGTACAACAAGCCAAATGGTATTAAAATAGGACTGACGCATTATGTCCATTACATTCGTATGATTCTTACCATATAAGTTTTGTTCATATCCTAAAATAAAATCAAGCTTGCATGCTATTGTAGCCGATCAAATGCATAATAATGCGGTTAATATTGTGCCGTAAAAGATACGAGTATATCAAAAGGTGATCATGGTAATACAAAACACTCTTACTTATTAATTTGTTATACTTATCGACGGCTCTATCTCTATTGTCCGTTTTTATTTTATTAATCAATCATAGTATAATTTTTCAAGTGGAAGAAAAACAGATTCCCTTTAGCTTTTTCTCCTTGAAAGGTTTTTTTTTTTTTTCCTCTAGGGTTTCTCTCTTGGAAGGGTTTTTCTAGCCTTTATTGCTAGGTTTTTTTCAATTTTTTTTGAAGGTTTTCCTTCTCTGTTCTCCCTTTTCTCTACAATCTCTTTCCTCTTAGTCTCAGTTGTGAATCTTTGTAGGGGTTTTCACTGGTGTTCTTACCGATGGTAAACCCCCAAAAACCTTTTAATTGCTTTCAATAAATAAATCTCATCCTTGGATGATGATTTTTCTCTTGAATTTATTTTCTTTTTATGTTTGTATGACAAATATTGAAGATGTAGGGTTTCACAATCTCTACAAGAATCCGGAGGACCACATGAGTATTTTCACTCAAACGACTACGCATAAGTGGATTTCAAGTCGAATCAGTGCGAACTCACAGATTGTATTGATTCTGATGAAGTTTTTTATTAAGGCGATTGTTAATCAAATCTACGATGTATTTAATTTTAAGGTGTGTACTTGTGTTGAAATTCTTGGTTTCTTAGGAATTATATGTAAGTGTTGTTTGGCTATATTTTATTAACGAAATCCCTTTTTCTTTTTGGAAAAAAAAAATCAAAAATCAAAAATTTTCAAATGATGGTATATACAAGCTTAATTCAAAGTAGTACATATATAATCATTTTACAAATAATTCTCATTTAGCTATGTATGATATGATTAAGAGTTAATTTTAAAATATCAATTTATTTAGTATATATAATTACTTTTGGCTTTACATATGCAACCGCGTATATATCAATTTTCATTATTTTAGGCGTGTAATATAAGGAGCAATAAAAGTAACTCCGTATTAATGTAGATAAGATATGTTTTCATGTATTGACTACTTCTTCAAGACCTTAATAACTACGCTAAGTGATATACATGACTCCGTTAAAAAAAAAAAAAAAGAAAAAAAAAAGTGATACACATGACTTGGATGAAAAAAAAATAAAAAAATATTGATAACACCTCAAAAAAGTTTATGTTAATAATAGCTATCTTTTTCTACTTGAAAAGTCCCTCGTTCCTTTATTTGGTTGGATAAAAGGAATGGAGGGTAGAGTGAATGAAAATATTATGGTTAGCCACCCTCTTTTGGAGGATGAATTGGAGGCAAACAGGAAGAATAATTCAACAAAAGAAGGGAACTCCTCTTTCTTCGAGGCTTTCTTCAATGGCCTAAACGCTCTTTCAGGTTTTTTCTCTTTTTACATTCTACTACGTAAATGTTCATGTTTAGTTATATACTAATACATATATATGTAAAAATTAGAAGAAAAAACAATCCTCTTGTTTTGTTTATGTGTAAATAACAAGTCAACATCTCATCTTGAGTTGTTTATAAAATCTCGTTGATACGGAAAACACCTTTCTAATTAAAAGAATTAAGAATTCGTTCGATATTATTGTGTGGGGCTGCTAGTTTTCAATCTTTTTTGTTTTTTCCTCTTGATTAGAAGAGCGGTTTGATCTTTGTCTAATTAGGAGGCCTATTAATAGTTTGTTTTGTCAACTAACGGATTAACCCTAGTGTAATTAATACTCCGTAACTTTTAGTCCTGATTGGCAAAGCCCCGGGGCTGGTGGAGGCCGGCCCCGTGCCCCAACTGCAAGTTTCTTTAACATCAAAAGCTGCCCCCCTTAAAACATTATTATAAACAATGAATTTGCATACTAATAATGCCTTGTAATCCATAGCACAGTGGTAGGAGTGGTTATATGACACAGCTCATTGTCAAAGAGAGGTTATATAAGATCGAGTCTTGTTTGTGTAATTTGTTTTTATCCATTCAACATTTCTTTTTGTAAAAATTTGCAAAGTTTATATTGATTAGTTTTGTTTATTTTGTTATTCCAATCTTTCTTATAATAATTTCGCCCATATTCTTAATTGGCTTAATTGTGTAGCGTAAATTTAATTCTTGTAATATTTTATATTTATCTTTAATCTTTAGTGCAAATGAGCCACAATGGCAATACATAACACAAATTGGGAAAGAAAAAATCAAACTCCAAACATTGTACACAAGCCCTCAATCTTAATCACTAGCCAAAATCATGTTGGTTTTATATTATTTTATTTATTTTATATTTTTTGGTGTTCCACCTGGTTTACCCTTTGGGCTAATCCGGATTCGAGATCAATTTTGGGTGGTTAGGTTCCTATCCCCTCCCAATTGTTGTTGTGAGGGATCGAACACGCGATCCTTCCTACCAAGTGTATCCCCAATCACCACTACACCAATAGCCAATTGGTATATTATTTTATGCAATGTTGATTATTTTGATGAATAACAAAACAATGGGTTAAAAATATTTTGTTGAAATGAACTACAAGTGATAGTTTTTCCTTTTTATTCAATTATAATCAATCACAATGTTTTGAGTTTTGCACGATTGCACTTATTTAACATATTGTACAGATTTGACCATATCTTTGATAATCAAAATGGTTTATTTGAAACTAAACATTGAGTTTAATCATAGTACGTTCAACCTATTAGCTAACAACATTTGTTTTGTAATACATTAGTAAAAAAAAATGTTTTAAAAAATAAAATATAGTCGAAGCTAATTTATAATAATGAAAAAGAAAAAAGTATACAAAAGAAAACATATGTAATATTATCTTAGTTAATATAAGTCTCCTGAAAATAGGAGCCGAATATTTTCCTTGGTTCAGCTGGAAAAGTGGTTAATCAGCCTATCACAGTCACTTCTAGGGATATTCATATAACAAACTAGCACCAATCACATTTCAATATAAGGAAACTAGATTAATTAGTCCTGTGTTGCAGAACAATCAAAATAAAGGTAGTCATTACTCTTTAATTAGAAGATATGCACTCATAATCTCAATAATTTTAAAGATGTTAAATATGGAAGAGAAAAAAAGAGAGATAGGAGAGAAATTGGGGAGAGAATAAATCAGTCTCACTTATTACATAGAGTGGGGTATATATATACATATAATATAATAAGAGTTTGCTTAGATAATAAAAAATCCTAAATTTAGAATATTCCGGAATGATAAAAAGAGGATAATGGATATCCACACAATATTTCATAACACTCTCCCTTGGATGTCCATTATCGAAGAGTGTGCCTCGTTAAAACCTTATTAGGAAAAACCCTGTGGGATAAAAACCTAATGAAGGAAAAAGAGTACAACATTATTCGTAATACGCTCGAGATGCTGCCTCATTAAAAACCTTACCAGGAAAACCCAATGTGAGACAAAACCATGATCAAGGGAAAAAGAGTGCAATGCGTATTTTCTCCCCCTGATGAATACATAACTTGAGATCTTCTAGTGCCGTAACAATGAATCCGATATAGTTGGATATCTTTTAATATGTAGTAAAATATCATTCGTTGGTCTTCGATCCTCCTAAACTAAAATTGCATCTTCAAGTCTTCAAGTGAACATGTGAAGTGTCTTCATTTCACCATACATGTATTTATCTCTACATCATTCCAAACCTCTGTTTGAATAAAGTTACTTTAAAAGTTAAACTTATGCGGTTAGACCTTCTTCTGGAGATCGTGAATAATAGAAGTCGATGATCATTATTTGATCAAACATTCATTGATAATAATTTGATGACAAAACTTGATATTATTAATGTCGTTCTTCAATCTCATCTGAATTATAATGTAACACATGTAATTAGATACGCTAATCATGGTTCTTCTGGACCATAAGAAAACATTCTCACGCATAAGTATTCCATTGATATTCTTTAGACGTTTCATAATTGACACAATAGCTCTCTTGCAAATACAAAAGCAAATCTCACTAACTTTCATATGCTCAAACCTCAGGTTGAGATGTCAATGATGTAGTCACATAGAGTTTTCAAGAGTTTGATAATAATTGCAATATTCAAGATATAAAATTTGTAGGGATATAAATACGTTGCATATAAGTTCTTCAGGAACTTTTCTTACATGATTCATAAATAATATTAGATCAACGTCATATATAATTATAAGTCCGTTGGAATATAAATATGTCTTTCTAATTTTCCATCAAAGTTGTAAATATGTCTTACTATACTTTGAATGAACATTGACATACACTACAATTATTGTATAGAAACTAATGCATGCAATATGAGATATATAAAACATGATAACATATTAAGCAAAATATACAATAAGTAATGCATCTAACAACTACTGACATATGCAATGAACAATTCGTTAACTTATGACTCATACATGCATATAAACATACATAGGACTCAAAATAATGCAAGACACTATACAGTGTGGATTTAAAAATCCATATTTCATTGGACTTCTGGTCTATGATATACTTATGATTATTATCATTATGTCGACATCAAAATGGACATATATTTCAGATCCCCTTATGCACTAGTCCACTTTATTATGCATATGCATATTATTCATCGGTTCCCTTGTGTACCGGTATCATAATATTTTCCTTTAACGTACATTTCGCATACTACTTTACTATGATATATGAATACATTTCTTATTGGTACCATCATAACTTCCTTACATCATAGGCCTTCTATTGTAATAATTCAGATATCTATACCACTTTTAGGGTATTTCATACACTATGGTATTTATATACTATTACGCTATTAATGTTAACTGTACTATCTTGTCATATATCATATCCATTAGAGATATTTTTATTTTGGAACCGATCATATAACCGACACTTTAGGTGTAGTGATTCAAGTATAATTGGCAAGATTTTATCTCAATGTATACACATAATATGACCAAAAAGTATCTTCAACGCTATGCAACATGAGTCATAACTAAATACAAATCAAATCATAAATGTGCAACATATCTTGATAATATATAGGCAAAAGTTGGCATATAACTTTTCAAACTACCTTTATAGGGATCATCAATTATATTTTCCGATATTTCCAACTTTTGCTAATTCTTCTCCCCCTAAGTTGGTAAAATATCTCATTTATAGGGGCGTCTAATTCTATACCAACTTAGTATACAAATTTGCATTGAAATTCTTTTCATCGGGAGGATCACAATCAAAATAATTATCTCAGAAGATTTGTATTAAACAAGTTTTCTCTCTTCTAGAGAACAATTTCAATGAAGAATCATTTCTTCATTAACTTTACATTGCATGTGTATTTATTGTTACACTTTCCATAATATGTTCTCTTCTGGAAATCAATGTCAATGGGGAGACATGTGTTGTGCAGTTGTACGTTTTTCTTTCTTTTCCAATTTCTTATGTGCTTACATATAATAGCCCCAATCAAAAGAATTATTATACAACCATAAAACACTTGCTTGGAATTATGCTAGGTAGTGATCTTCAAGATCTTTAAAGATTTAAATAGAGTATTTGGTGAGATTCTGGTCACCTAATAGTTAACGATAACATGTTTGTTATTCTGGTGAACTTCTGATCACCCATTACTATTCAATAATAGCTCAATCTTAATGTTATGTCTTTCCATTTAATTCATTTCATATATGCAACATTGAGAGAGCGTCAACACATTATCAAATGAAACTTCAAGTTTCCATAACGGGTAATTATTAAACCCGGATGGCCTAATTTAATTATCAGATCCAGTCACTTCTCTAAATTTGAACTCTGGTCAGTATTCCAACACTAGTGATCACTTTATTAAAATTACTTTATGCATGGCCATGAATATGATGTGATATAGAACACTAACATGTGTTTCTTTATATAATTGGCAAGACAATCAACTAATACTTTATCCAAAAAATTTATACTCTGTTGGAGCTTTGATTATAATCTTGATACATGATAAGCTTGTTGGAAATTCTATACTCTTCTAGAGTACTCTATATAGTCATGGTACATATCCATTTTACTAAGTATAATCTCTTATAAGGATCTATCAAAATGCATTACTTCCTCAAATTTGCTATTATCAATAATTGCTCTTTTCATGTTTGAAGATTCTTATCTTTGAAATCTATTGGGCTCGGGTACGGCTACCACGCTTTAGGCGTGCTTTAGGTTCATTAGTAATTGATGTTGTCCTTCTGGGATATTAATTTTAATTAGAGCATTTACAGTTGGTATATAGCTAATGACATCTATTCATATCTATCTTCAGGATGGTATCATTTTGAAATATATTAATTAGCATGTGGCCACTTTTATTAAATAAAACGTTAATGTTTAAGTTAATGTATGTACCAAACTGCCCATCAATTTTTTTTTCTATTATTTATGTGCAAGGATTACATAAAATAATGAAATAAATACTATCTCCCCCTAATCCTTGCATGTGGGGGCATTAAATTAATCCAACTACCTTTAAATCTCTTGCACCTTTTAAGCCATAAATTCTTTTATCAATGCATGTAACAAGCAAAGTAAAATGATTCTTATAAAACTCATATGAATCTTTATACTAAAAATTCTCAAATTAATATTTCTAATAGAATTAAAGGAACTAAAATAAGATTCACTAAACCAAATGACTTAAATTAATAAATGACTGATAATAATAATAATGAAATATCCGAAAACATAAAAATATCCAAAAACATAAAATTATTGTCCAAAACCAAATGTCCCATAAAGCATTAAATCATAGTAGTACGATAAAATTCTATAATAAATGCAAGCTAATTAATAGAGTTTATTTGCCAATGGATCATAATTTATTCAATTATTTTCTTCAGGATTAGGAAAGAAATCAGCTGCTTCCAGGTGAGTTGTACACTAGTAGAAAAACTAAAATGGGCACTGCCAAATGCACACCGGTTTTTAAAAACCGGTGCGAAAAAAAATTGTCAAGATTGAGGGAAAGAGTTTTCGCACTGGTTCTAATCAAACTGGTGCGAAAAGTTTGTTTTTCCCACCGGTTCTTACAAAACCGGTGGGAAAAGTGAGTAAATCGCACCGATTCGGTTCGAACCGGTGCGAAATCTATTGTTAAATATAAAAAAAAACGGTCAATCTTCTTTCTTTCTCTTTCATTTCCTCGATATTTCCTCCTCTCTCATCAGGCTCTCTCTCCTCCATTGAAGGGTACTCGAAATTCTCCATTGAAGGGGCTTCTGAGCTTTCTCTCAGCACTTTCCTCAATCTCCTTCTCTCTCCTTCGATCTCCTTCTCCATAACTGTCACTTTCCCTTTTCTTTCTTCTTTCTTTCGATCTCCTTCTCCTTCTCTGTCCGAAATCGGCTCAAATCGAACATGTTCATATTCTCTGCTCCTTCAATGTTCCTCAACGTCTCCTGGTTCGTTTCTCTTTCTTCAATTTTTATGATAATTTTTGCTGGGTTTTGTAATTAGGGTTTCTAATTTGACTCCGAATCTCCGAAATTGTTTTTGGGATGATATTGTAGAATACTGCGAATACTCTTCATGGTGGGAGTTGAGAAGGCTGTGTCCTTGTGGATTGGGGAGTTGTTTGGTTCTTACTGCTAATACGGAGCGTAATCGCGGTCGAAAGTTCTTTCGTTGCCCTGATCGTTAGGTTTGTGAGTTTATTTCTAATTAGGGATTTTGATTTTGTGAGTTTATCTTCTTTTATATAATTTATTTACATTCAATCAATATGAAAATATTCCATTATTTAATTTTTGTGGGCATTTGATTGTTAAAGTTATCTGTTCTTGTAAATTGTTCAATAATTATTTTCTGCATTTGAAGTACACAACAATGATTTATACAGTTCATATGTTTTGGGTTTTTTTTTTTATTTTATTTTTATTTTTTTATTTGAGGGGAATGGTACAATTTAAACGGTCATGATAGATTAAGGTGCATGAAGATACTAAGTACTGATTAAATCTTCCTTTAATAAACTAATTTGAACTGAAATTCTAAATATGACCCAAATTATTACATTTTTCTGTAATTTTTCTGTCTAAAAGGGTCATGATAGACAAATTATTACATTTTAGCTTGACTTTAGCTTTAGCTTGCTCATTATGTGATTGTTTGTATTGCTTATATATGTAGGAATGAATCTCAGATGCATTGTTGTCTTTGATTTGGTTAGTCGACGTAGGATCAAATTTATGAAATTGTCGTATGCCTATTTTGGGGAACCTGATTGTCCTGATATTGTTCGTTCTGCTTTTAGTTTGTGTCGTACGAAGGATCGCTTGTGTGCTTGGGCTTATTATAATGGTGGATATGTAGTTGATATGTGGATGTTGAAAGAATATGATGTGTGGGAATCATGGACCAGGTTGTTTTGTGGTGATATGAGATGTGAATATTGGAATTTTTTTGGATTTACCAAGGCCAGAGAGGTTATGATGTTCCATTTTAATTGGCTAGTACTTATTGACTTCAGCCGAGTTCCACTTGAATCGAGGTCTGTTTGTTTTGGACACCAAGTGACAGCTTTGAATTATGTAATGGGTGTAAGAGCTCAGATACCATATTGTCGAAGGAAAATCGACTCTTCTTCCTCAGATGTGAACAGGTTAGTCTTACATTGAAATTTGTTGCTTTCCTTTTGGTGTACTTGTTCAGTTTTGACTTGGTCTATTGATATTCTTGTCTTTGTGCATGAGCAACTTATGTTTTTCTTAAGTGCTTTTTTGTTAAAGCTGTGTGAAAGGCCTATGATGACTAGTGGTATTTTTGAGCTCTTGTCAATATGTGCCTATGAAAAAACTATTATCCGAGTTCTGAGGCCTCATCCCAGCTTTTGTGTTTTCTTGAAACCTTGCCATGGGCGTAGGTCCAGCTTTTGATGGTAAACGTTCTGAAGAATCTGACAAAATTATTGAAGAATAGCAATAGCAGTAGCAGTGAAATTATACAGAGGTAATTTCTCTCAACTTGGTATATAGGTTGTGTTGTAAATTGTAGATAATGAAAGGCTATAAGGACTATTTTAGGGTGGCTTGCCCATAGTAACACTATTTAGTGTAGGATGACAGTGTAATTTGTTCTTGATTTTAATGCTTGCTGTTTTGTTTTTGTACTATTGGCTTTCTATTTAATTGTGAAATTGTTGTGTTGCTCTTTTCTCTTTGGTTATATATAGAGTGGTTTGGTTTTGGAGAGTCTTATTGTCTTCTCTTCATTTTCTTTTGGCTGTAAGTATATGGTGTTTCAGAGGCAACTTTTTTTTTTAATTATACAGTGTACTTTAACAAATGAACCTTGATTACTGAACCTATATTAAGCTAAATCTACTAATTCTGGACACCAAAAACTGAACAGATTTCAAACTACCCTACTATGATGCTAGACTTTATAATCATATTGGACTGTACAGTGATACTCAGAATGATGCTTGCTAATGATAATTTAGTTTGAAAAATTCAAACTTTACTATTTGTTGGTTAAAATGGTTTTTGTTTGGTGCATTTTATATGATTTGGCTATTCAAATTACAAATTAGGTTTGTTGTTGTTTAATTTGTATAGTATGGCATTGAATAGGAAAGATCTAATTTGAGTACTGTGTTATCAGGGGTTCGTTTTATTAAGCTTTTGTGATGATTTGTTCCTTTGGTTGTTTTTCCGGTTTGGTTTGCTTAGATTCCTTTATTTTTCTGAGACATTAAACTATCCATTCAAATTTCAGAGGAAACAGTTCCCTATTAAGCTTAGTTTTGCCATGAATATAAATAATGCTGAAGGCCAATCTCTATCCCAAGTTGCCCTATATTTAAACACCCCTTGTTTTTCACATGGACGGCTTTATGTTGGTCTATGATCAGAGTTGGCTGCAGGTATGCTTAATAATTTACCTTTGCTTACAGTTCCTACCCTTTTCCCTCTCCCTTCTACTATTAAAAAAGTTGTTTTCTTCAGCCTTAGTTTTCTATATATAACTATATACATTCTCTTTTTGAACACTATACAAATGCTCTCAACTTCAATTCTAGATTGAAGAACCCTCTAATTTTGTAAGCCTTGCTAGCTATTTCTTTGCAATGATTACCCTGATAATATAAAGAGGTCCAATTACTGATGTCATCTATTAAAAGCTAATCTTAGATGTATTTTAAAAAAGATATGTTGCCACTAACAAATGCTTTCTTTCCTTCTTACAGAAATAGAGAAAATCGATTTATAAATGATGGATTTAGGAGGGAGTTAGCAGGATTGACGATATAGTGACTTAAAATGCAAAACACGTGGCTTATAGGTGCTGTAATACAGAAGTTCATAGGTGAACTTTTAATCAAGTAGACAGATTATTATTCATTCAGATTGGACCATCAGATCACATGTTCTTACAAAGCAAGGAGTTCTAACATGGGTTTACAAAGAAAAGCAAGCAGTAGCAAAATAGCAATAGCAGAACAGCAAGCAGCAAAAGCAGAACAATAGTAGCAGAAGCAGAACAACAGTAGTTATGATATCCTGGCTGTGATAGTTCTTGGAGTTATCGGAGGTGTTCTGGGCAGCTTTTATAATTATCTTATTGACATGCGCTATCGTTCACAACGTTGTAGCACCAGGCCCAGCAAAACAGCTATATGTTTTTTTTTTCAGTTTTTAAAGTGTAATATTACAAGCTATTGAACAAAATATATGTGTTTTATGTATATTAGTATTATATACAAGTATTTGGTACAATTTAAGTGAAAAAAATGAAAAAAAAAAATTAATTTTTTTGAAGCACTTTTGGCACCGGTTTTGGAAAAGAACCGGTGCTAAAATATTTTTTACAATATTTTTTTGAAGCACTTTTGGCACCGGTTCTCCCCCAGAACCGGTGCGAAATGTATGGGGTTTTAGCACCCCCCCCCAAATCCCCACCAGTTCAAAATCGGTGCTAAATGGGGGGTTTGAACAGGTGGGGATTAAGTATTTTCGCCTAGTGGTATCACCGTAATCAAAATCACCTTCGCCATCCTCGTACACCAAATTTGTTTCCACTTTTTTTTCTTTCTATTTGATTGATTGTTGATAGAGGTCTACTAGATGTTTTGATGTGCGACACACACGAGACCAATGGCCTTTTCCTCCACAACGGTTGCATATATTTTCATTTTTATCCTTCTCATTCTTATTTCCATCTTTATTGTCCTGGTGAGAGTATGAGTTCCTAAAATGACCACCTCGACCACGATCATGTCCACGTCCACGGCTGCGACCACGACCTCGACCACGACTGTTGGCGTGATCTCTAGCCTTTTGCTCTTTCCCACTATGGGATGTCGCATTCGCTTCAGGGAATGGAGTAGAGCCAGTTGGGCGTGATTCATGATTTTTCATTAATAGTTCATTATTTTGTTCAGCCACAAGGAGACAAGATATCAATTCAAAATATTTTGTAAAACCCTTTTCACGGTATTGTGTCTGTAGGACAACATTGTTTGCATGAAAAGTAGAGTATGTTTTTTCTGACATTTCTGCATTCGTGATTTTCTCTCCACATAATTTTAATTGTGATGTAATTCTAAACATGGCTGAGTTGTATTCACTCACAGACTTAAAGTCTTGTAATCTTAAATGTAACCAGTCATAACGAGCTTTTGGTAATATAAAAATTTTCTGGTGGTCATACCTTTCCTTTAGATTACTCCAAAGGACTTGTGGGTCTTTAACAGTCAAGTACTTAGTCTTAAGGCCTTCATGAAGGTGATGGCGAAGAAATATCATAGCTTTAGCCTTATCTTGGTTTGTTGCAGTGTTGTTTTCTTTAATAGTATCACCAAGTCTCTTTGCATCTAAATGTATTTCAGCATCTAACACCCAAGACAGATAGTTGTTTCCAGTAATATCAAGAGCAATAAATTCGAGTTTTGCAAGGTTTGACAAGATTCACTGATACATAAAACAGTATTATAAATTAGGAACTAAGGTGGTATAATAAATATATATATATATTCCAAATTTCAAATGAGGCGACTAATTTCAAGTAATTAATTATAACAAGATTTGCGTATTGAACCTTGAGAAGGTTATTGTTCATGAGACCACAATTAAGTCCACTAATCAATTATCATAACAAAATATAAACCTTAATAAATAAATAAATATATATATATATATATTAATTTTTTTTTTAATTTTTTATTATTAAACCTTAATAGGTTCCAACTTCCAAAATCCAAACCCATTAACATACAAATTGCATATTTGCATACAATTATGTAAAGATCAAAAGTAACTCAATAAATTTTACTAGTTTCAATGATTAATGGATACGAGAAAGAAATAAACCAAAAAATATCAATAAGCAAACCCACTTCAGCAAAAGCAATTAACCACTAATCTTGCAAAACCCAGTTGCTCAAATCCACAAATTCACATGATTTCTATGTTTCCCTAATCAATTACAACAAAACTACTAATTTCAAGGGTTTGGTCAAACACCCAGAAACTAAGATCTTGATTTCTAGCAACCAAAGTATCTAATTCGACTGATTAAGCAATGATCAAACATCAGATATCTTACTAAATACAGTAAATTGAAGATAAATTTAGAGTAAAAACTGACCTTAAACAATCAATATGAACTCAATACATCATAATTTATTATCAAGAATTCAAGATATAAATCTGTAAACAAATTAACAAAACAAATAGTATGTAAAATATAAGAAATTAAGTAAAAATTCAGTAATTCACCTATAAAGTCACGGAATATGGTTGAGTGGATGACGGAGCAGTGGAGCACTGAGCACGGGAGGCCGGAGGCGACGCCTCTGGGACAACCGACAGCGAGAACGGGGGCCGGAGCGGTGAACGGCGACGACGGCAGTTTACGAGCTGAGGATTTAGGGGAGTTACTTTGATTGTCGTTTGAGATCAGTCAATTTATGATGCTTCAATTGATATTGAAATCAATCTAGAGTTATGGTGTTGATAACGTGTTAAATATGGAAGAGAAATAAAGAGAGATAGGAGAGAAATTGGGGAGAGAATAAATCAGTCTCACTTATTCCATAGAGTGGGGTATATATATACATACAATATAACAAGGGTTTGCTTAGATAACAATAAACCCTAGATCTAGTATATTTCGGAATGATAAAAGGAGAATAATGAATACCCACACAATATTTCATAATAAAGAAGTATTTATTTTGTTTTAGAATTTGAGTGAAAAAAATAGATAATAAATGATGTCATAATTAAGTAATTTAGAGGAGAAAATTTTCCATAAGAATTTTACACCGTGTTATTAAATGATTTCTGCATTGGCTTGTTTTTGTATTTCAATATTTATAGATTATCCCATAATTTTATCCCAAAGTGTGGTTACTAATTTCATGGAAAAATAACATCACAACTTCACAAGAACATTTTAAGGAGGAAATCTAAGAAGGTATTTACAAACTTATACTTCGTAATAAAGGGAATGTAAAAGTTTTTACTTTTATTTTTTTTGAAATCATGAAAATATTTTTTTTAATTCTTAGTAGTTTGTCCTTTCTTTACAATAGTAAGTAAGAATTTAGTTTATAATGAAGATTGATTCATTATAGATTTATGCGTTTTAATATAGGTTGGACACTATTTTTTGTACTTCTTACGTTTCATAATAATTGCAACACTTTGACCGGCACACATGTCAATGTACAATTTTGCCCATTAATATTTGTAATTATATATTATTAAGAAGTATAAAAGGTTAATGTAATGAAAATATGATTAAAGACTAATCTAAAATTATTTTACATGACAACATATGTTTTTTATATGTTGGTAAAAAACATAGTCAAAGTAAGCATATGTTTTATATTACGTAATAGAGGGGATAAATAAGAAGAGTAATCCAACTATGTAAGTGAATCACTTAATTTTATCTTTTTTTTTTAATTATGAAAAACTCCACATTGAAATTTAGTATGTACTCCGTATAACAAATTCTTGAAGAAAATACTACATATTGATTTGAAAGTTAGTTCTTTCAAAGTTATATAAGATTATTCTTAAAGTAATAAATTTTAGTTAAGATTGAAGTTTCTTAAAAGTTATTCTCGTTTCCATATTAACTAATTGCATATAATTCTTAAAAAAAAGGCCCAATAATATTGCACATTTATAACAAAGATAATTTTTTTTTTTTTTTGAAGGAACAAAGATAATTTTTAAATTAGTTTCCTTGAATATTTTTTTTCCAAAAGAAATGTGAAAGAATAAAAGAAATACTAAAGACACACAAGAAATTTACATGTGTCAATATTTGATGCTTTGTCTTTTTAGTATATATAGTTACTAGATTAACTCCCGTACGATGCACGGATATAATAAAAAGAATTTATAATTGTGTAAACTTCAAAGACATATCAGTCAAAATATAAAAAATCTTTATATTACATACAATATTATTTACATAAACCAAACTACAAAAACTAAAATAATATAAACAAAAGAAAATTCAATTCATGTCTACAATAAAATTTAGCGAACTTTATAATTAGATGGAGTAATCACATATATAATAGGCAAATTTGCATCAAAGGATCCTTTAAATGCACTTGTTTGCAAGGAACACCTTATAAATCTAAAGTGGCATAAAAGAACCTTTTAAACATTTTTTGTGGTGGCTGGGAACCTTGACTTCGGAAAGTGGGAATTGACCATAAAAGTCCGGCGTTGATCATCACGTAACAGGCACATGACTTCTTAAACCTTATTTATTTATTTATTTATTTCCATTTTTCCCTCCCTTTTCCCCCTAACCGTTTTATTTTCCCCCAAATTTTTCTCTCTCTCCTCTGTTCTTTGTATCCACTCGCAAATTAGCCCAAATTCCCACCCCTTGCAGATACTTCAACATAATTGAGCCACGAATTTATCAATTTAGGACATTTAGTGCTAGGTAAATGACAAATTTTCCATTTATTTTGTTCAAATCTATTGTTATCGAAGGTTGTATCAAAAATTAGGGTTTATTTATGAAGTATCTAAATTAAGGAATTAATTGTTTTTGTTTGATGAAATTGCTTCTTGCAGCATGTTTTCGCATAGAAGAAAGATAGCAAAGTGCAATAATTGTGGGCTTCCTGTTGCTCAAAGGATCTCATGGACCACTAAATGTAACAGATTAAAAAAAAATCAATTGAAACCCTAAATTTCTGCAATTTTGACTTAAGGGAGTTAAAAAATTCATGCTTTACCTAGTTTTCATGTCCTTTTCGATGGAAAAGCCAAATTCTTTACCAATTTTTTTCCCTTTCTTTGTTTTCGCCATGGCAGAGCAACTCCAGAAGCTTTTGCATGTACAAAAAAGGAAAAGAATATGACAGAGGAGAGAGAAAAACATATGCGTACTCCACCAAGTATAGTCTTCATCACTTCTGAGTGGAATTCAATGTGCAGCAAAGGGGTAGATTAGGGGGAGTAATTGATTCCAATTGAAATTAAATTCTGGGTTCACTTCGATTTTGCAGAGGAGAGAGAAATAAATTTGGGGGAAAAGGGAGGGAAACGTGGGGGAAAAAAACAAGAAAAAAAGAGGTTTCAGAAGTCACATGCCTGCGGTGGTCAACGCCGGACTTTTGTGGTCAATTTCCACTTCCCGACGTCAAGGTCCCCAGCCTCTACAAAAAACGTTTAAAAGGTTCTTCTACGCCACTTTAGATTTATAAGGTCCTTTCTTGCAAACAAATGCATTTAAAAGATCCTTTGGTGCAAATTTGCCTATATAAGAGGTTGATATTTGTTTTCCTTAAGATTTTTAAAAGAAAAGGTAATGAAAACTAAAAAAGTGTAATGTACTGTATTAAACTACTTTGCACTCAGTATTTAAATTTTTTTTTTTTTAAATATGAAAAGGAAAAAAAAGTTTAGGCGGGAAAAAAAAGAAGGAGAAGCTGACACATGTACAATTTAAAAAAAGGGATGATGTCAGCGGTTGTTATTTTAGTAATATTTATAGAGATATAGATTGATTTACGTAGGTTTTTTAGAACAAGAGATAGACGCTCATTCAATTCATAAATTGACAAATTTTGTTGGAAACCATTTTTCAGTGGGACGAAAGAAGGTTTGTGTATGTAAATGAACCACCTTTGACACATTGTCTTGGCTATATAGTTTTGTATTATAGCCTCAAATGATCGAGAGAGGAACCACATCTATTCTCGGTTTTCTCGAATAACGAGAGATATGCTATACCCACGTGATATTTAGAAGAGTAATCCAACTGTGTGTAAGTGAATCACTTTATTTTATCTTTTTTGAATTATTAAAAACTCCATATTGAAATTTTAGTGCGTTTTGTGTGCAGCTGGTCACATCACATCATGTGGTCGCTTGTAAATGAACAAAATAATCCCTATAACACTGATCGAATAAGCAAACGAGTAACCTCTATAAGCACTAATGAAGTAACTCATGTAATACAGATGGAATAACTTGTTTAACACTGAAAAAGTAACCCCCTATGATGAATGAAAAATATAATAATGAATAAAAGAAATACTAAGAACACACAAGAAATCTACACATATCAAGTTTTGGTGTGTTTTTTAGTATATACTTATTCATTTACGTAAGGCTTTTAGAACAGGAGAAAGGCACTCATTCAATTCATAAATTGACAATGATCTCAAAAAATAAAAAATTCATAAATTGAAAAAATTTGTTGGAAAACACTTTTGAGTGGGGCAAAAGAAGGTTTGTGTATGTAAATGAACCACCTTTGACACATTATTGTCTTGGCTATATAGTTTTGTGTAATATCCTCAAATGAGGGATGAACCACATTTATTTTCGATCGATTTTCTCAAATATTCGAGAAATATGCTTTACCCACGTGATTTTTTTGAAAATATAAATTTTTCTTTTATAAATTAAAAACACCATTATGAGCAACAAACCCTTAGTGCTCTACTTAGTTATATAAGTAGTATCCTTTATAAATATAGAGGATAACCTATAAAAATACATCTTTTACATAAGCATCACATTCCAAGTTCCCAAAGTCTTACAAAGGGCGTATCTTTACATTAGCCATCAACCATGATTATATAACCCGTTCTCTTCTCCTTAAAACAAGATTGAATCCATTCTTTTTTACTTTTCGTATTTAATTAGAATTGTTGGAGTACTCATAAAATACGAGCATCTTCTAAATTACTTTCAATATGTATGTGAGAACATAAAAAATAAATAAATAAATAAACATCTTATGGTATGATGACTAGTTATATATATATATATGTGAGAACCAATACCGGCCATTAGATTATATGAAATTCAACGGCTAAGATTAAAATACAAAGCTGCCAAATACCTCCACTCCATTCTCACGGGTCCTCCTTTCTCCTTTCTCTTTCTTCCTCTCCACTCTCACATTCTCTCTCCTCTCCATTCTCCTCTCCTTTCTCTCTCCTCCTCTCCATTTTCTTCTCACACATCTCTCCTCTCATCAACATAACAAACACCGGCTACAGCAACCACAGTAACCCACCGAGCAGACCTCACCGAGCAACAACACCAACAACAAACCGACCGAGCAGCCCCCACCACAACAAACCACCGAGCATCACCGACTCACTGAGCAAGCACCACCAAGCAACAACGCAATACCAACAACAACACTGACGAGGTGACACCCACTGAGCACCATCAACGTTTTTCAGATCTAATTTTATTTTAGGTAAGAATTTAGATCTAGTTTTATTTTTGTTTTTCAAATTTCATCTTTTATATGCATTTCTGAATTGTTAGGTTATGTTTGATTGCTTTAAATCGGTTAGATTTATGGTTTATTTGCATTTTTAGAGTTAAAATTTGGTTAAGGTTTGTAAATTTATTAATGGGTTAATGAATTTGTTTCAATTTATTTGCATAATGAGTAAACTTTTTAATCTAATTTATTTTTTTTTTTTTTTATGTTTGTCCGTTGCGGTTGAGGCTTTAGATGCCGTGGTGGTAGAATAGCAGTGTGGCGGTGGTAGAATAGCAGAGTGCGGTGGTGGCTTCAGTAGTTTTAATATTTATTCATTTTAATTAAAATGTAATATTATAGCAATTTATCAATGAAAATATATATTTTTATACATATGTTTAGTTTTTGTATGAACTTGCTATTGAATGAACTTGCGGCAATTGATCTATCATTGAATCAAATGAATCTTTTGTTGCAAATCAATGATAAATAACCTACAATAATTTGATCATTTGATAAATAAGGAAAAATTTAGTTACTCATTTGTTAAATGAGCAAATAATTAGTTGCTCATTTGTCAAATGAGCAAGCATTTCTTTGCTCATTTGTCAAATGAGCAAACATTTCTTTGCTCAATTAATAAATGAGCAACAGTTATTTGCTCATTTGTAAAAAAAGCAAACAATTATTTGATCATTTGTCAAATGAGCAAGCAATTTTTTACTCATTTAGCAAATGAGCAAATACTTAGTTACTCATTTGTTAAATGAGCAACAACTTTGTTTCTCATTTGTTAAATGAGCAAAAACTTAGTTGCTCATTTGTCAAATGAGCAACAACTTAGTTGCACATTACATAAATGAACCTACGTGAGATTTAAACTCACATCTTTTGTGCATTTGCACAATGCTCTACCCTTGAGCTAGTAGGCTAACGTATTTAAAACATTCAAACACACTCACAAATGAGCATTAAATAGTTTGCTCATTTGACAAAGGAGCATTGAATTTTCTTTGCTCATTTGACAAATGAGCAAAAACTTAGTTGCTCATTTGTCAAATGAGCAAAAAGTTAGTTGTCATTTGTCAAATAGCAAACATTTTTGTAATCATTCATTAAATCAATAAGCATTTCTTTTCTCATTTGTGAAATGAGCAAACATTAGTTTGCTCATTTGTCATATGAGCAAATAATTAGTTACTCATTTGTAAAATAAGCAAACATTTCTTTGATCATTTGGAAAATGAGCAATTAATTTTTTGCTCATTTAACAAATGAGCAAATAGTTAGTTGCTCATTTGTCAAATGAGCAAATATTTAGTTGCTAATTTAACAAATACTTAGTTGTTAATTAAGACCCTGTGAAGCCATACAGTTACCAAAACCAAGCAAGCTTTTGATGCCCAATACAACAATACTTCATTGATTGAGCTTTGACTGGTAAGAAATGATTCCCACAGCTCATTGCATACAAATTCATAAATTTGAGGAATGAAAAGAAATTTAGGTTTGAGCCTATTATTACATGGAATGTCCTATGTGACTGCTAATAATTATTATTCAAAAATAAGTAAGTCATTTCTTCGTTCACTACATGTTATTACCACCTACAGTCCAATAAAAAAAATTAGATGGGATGTACAACTACTGCTACTAATCTCCCTCAATTTTCCAGTTCATAACACTCACTCAACAGTCCCTCATATCAAGCAAGATGGAAGAAGAACAAGAATGCTTATATTATTATCAAATTATCCCAAAATACTTGCAAATTACTTCAAAATCCATCTACAATTTTTCAAATTCGTCTATAGTTCATCAAATTAACTCTTATTTTTTTACAAAAAATGAAAATGAAAGAAAAAATATTGCAGCTCAGAATGGTGTATGGAATTGCAGTATGAATGGGGTTTATTGTAGCTTAGAATCATCCTCCATCAATGCCACCTGAATTTTCACTCTCCTCCACTGATCTTCTCTCTCGCCGCTCCGATCTCGTCTTCATCGTCAATCCTCGAGATTTTTCTCTCTTATTTCTCCGTAGCAGACCCTTCGAAATTTTGAAAACCTCCCCACCTCGTTCTTTTGACTAGTCTATCACTGCCCACCACGGCACCACCCTCCTCCAAACCCACACATAATCCCACCGATAAAGACCCACGTCCAGCCAACCACAACTCCACCCACCCAACCCGTACATCAACTCTCCCTCATTGCTAATCGCACCCACCACCAACAACAATGCCCCCTTGCCCAACCCACTACTCCCTCCTAAACTCATAAACACTAAGAATCCGCATTAAGTAAGCTGCTGCCTGCAACTCTAATCAATCAGATCATCATTCTATCAAATCACACAAAATCATTTTAATCATACAATTCATCTAATTAGTTAGAAATATTAGTTGTTGAGGAGATAATTCGTAACAATTGAAGGCAAAAGCTCCAAAATTAATAAGTCTTTGTAGTTTAAAGAAGAATTGATGGAGAATTAAAGCAAATAGCAGTTGAAAGGGAGCAGAGAAATTGAAGGAGGAGAGAAAAAAATGGAGTGTGGAATGAAGGAGGAGAGAGAAAATGGAGTGTCGAATCTTTGAAATTATGTTTGATTGGGATAAATTGTATCCATTGGATGCAATTGATTCAACGGTTGTAATATGTTCTCACGTATAGGGTTCTCACATAAGGGATGTGATCTCATATAATTCCATTTCTATATATATATATATATGTATTTGACAAGCATAAAGTTATATATTAATTTATATACATATGCATAAAAAAAAATTATTTATATATACTTGTATGAAGACTTTCCATAAAAGATATTGCTAAACAAAGAAGCATATAAGAGAAGATTAGGATTGTACAACCAAGATACACCTAATTAAATCACACACCTAGTATATTACCATAACCAAAATTATTTATATAATATTGTAAACTAATTGCACCATAAATATTGACGTATTTCGGTTTTTGTTTTGGTTTAGGGAGTTACAAAGAAGAAATGTATGTTTTAGACAAGAATAGATAACAAATCTTCCAATTTTTAACCAACAAAAAATAGTTCATAATATAGAATGATATCTTTAGTCTCCAATAATTGATTTTTCGAGAACTTCAAGAGCCGTAAAAGTCTGCTTAGCCAATTGCACATTTGCACTATATATGTCCAAAATCTTTGTACCATTCTTACGGTGCACAGCAACTTTGTTCCTAGCAAAAGATCCTATAACCAATCAATCAATAAAACAAAAGTGGATAAAACTCACCAATCCAATTGATCACGTGATTAATATTGCCTTGATATCCATAAAAAATTGAGCCATCCCGGTCCCAAATTATAGTAATTTATTGTATGACCCGAAGAAAAATGGAAAGAAAATGGGTAATTTTGGATAATTTATGGGTAATTTTGTGATTAAAGTAATATGATAATATGAATAACTTTTGATAATTTATGGGTAATTTTTGTGAAAATAAAAGTAGCTGGGTATTTTTTTTAAAAGTATGATAAAGGATCCTATTAAATCGGCACCTCTCATAGGTTAAGCCAGTTCAGTTCCACAGGTCAACGCTTAAGAGTACGTAGAGGGGAATGTAGTTGGTGGGGCTCGAACTCATGATAATTTGGGTAATTTATAAGAGTAACTTTTATGATAATATAGGTAACTTTTGGTATACAATAACCAGATATACATTAAATTTATTGTACACCCGACACATGCAAAACTTTTGTTGACTGGTTATATAGGACATATTTATGTACAATAATGTATCAATACATATCAATTATTAAATTTTATTGTGTCAAAATTCCACATCAAAAAGAACTATTTCAAGATTACATTTGATTATATTTATCATAATATATTTACAAGCTAGGTCCGTATTAAATTAAATTAAAAGAAAATTAGACATTAAATTTATATTACATCAAAAGAAATAGTTTATTTTAGTGTGTCAATTAAAAAAGAAAAAAAAGGAGACAATATATTTTAGTGTGGGAGGGAATACCATATATAATACTTCGTATGATACTATGATATATTCTTACCTATTAAAGTTAAACTTATGTATGATGTATTGACATTATCATAAATTTCTACTATATTTTTCCTTTTGTCAAAAGCACTACCAAATAATTAAAGTTTCTTTCTTTTATACTTGTACTTCTATTGGTAGTTTGTTAAAGTTCCACTTCAATTCCACCCAATATAAAGTTGTAATAAACTATTCTAAAAAAATATTAAAATTTTAATAAATTTTATGTAGTACAAATACCAGAAATTGTAGAAGTCATTCTTCTCCATCTCCTCGTAATTTTATTGGTTCAATAATATAGCAATGGAGGGAGTTATGGTCAGCCTTAGCCACCCTCTTTTGGAGAATGAGAATGAATGGGAAGTAAACCACAAGCATTCAACCAACGAAGGCGACTCCTCTTTCTTCAAAGCTTTCTTTAATGGCCTTAACGCCCTTTCAGGTTATTTCACTTTCACTTCTTTTTAGGTTTTTACAGACTACTTTTTTTATTTACTTTTTATTTTTTTAAGCACGTCCTCTTGTTAGAATATAAACATATGCAGTATGAATTCATATTTCATAATGCCTATGTTTGATACTTTGGAAATGTAGAATTACAAGAAGTTAATCTTGAAATATACTCAAATGAATTAAATGAAAATTTGTCTCCTAAAACAGTTTGTATACAGTACTCTTCAACGCACATTATACCCTAGTACAAGAGACATACTGCATTGCATAATCGTTTTTTGTTTTGATTATGAATTGCTAGTTTTCGGACGATAATATCTAAATCTTTCGGGTCCAGTAATGATAGAACAATGTATACTACAAGAGGGGGGGTGAATTGTAGTGTATGTAGACTATGGTAAATTTTGCGGAATTAAATCTACTACTAAGAGAAAAGACACTGAGATAAGCAATGAATAAATTCACTATGTAAAAATGATTTACAATCACTAATACGTTGCCTAAACTCAAGTTCCATGAGGAACTCAAGTTACCCAACTGTGATCCCTCAATCACAGTTTCTCACACTTTGTGATTCTACTCCGAATCACTTGTACAGTGTAAACAACTCTCTCAAGTCTCACACTTTACAACTCTCACAACCCAAACCCAATTACACAATGATTACAAGTATTTCCTAAAGAACTTAAGAGACTAAGGATGGAAGGAACTTCTCTTTTAAACACTTTGAAACTCTATGCTCAGAATACTTAAGATTGTTTTTCCACACTTTCAAAAAGCCACGTTGATCTATTTTTATAACGAGAATATTCAAGCTTCCATCAAATTCCCACTTCCCCCTTAATCCCACGTTCTCTTTGGCTGAGAAGTTGGGATGTAGGCAGAGGAAATTTAGGAACATGATTTCCTTAGCTTGACTCCCAAGTTCAACGTTCTCCTTAATACTAGGAGCCAGTATTTACCAAGTCAAAAAAATCAGTTATTCAAAAAGATAATTATTTATAAAAAAGATAATTATTTATTTATTAATTAAAAGATAAATAATTAATTAATTTAAAACTTATCTTTTTAAATTAATGAATTATTTATTTATTTATAAAATCTTTTTAAATCTTTTTCAAAACTGATTTTTATCACTTCCTTAAATTAAGGGATATGAAAACTGTTTTAAAACTTTCGTTTAAAACTTTCTGAGTCAATCGTCAAGTTCCTTCGGGAACTACAGGTTCCTTCAGGAACTTCGAGTTTCTTCTTAATTCCTTCCATTCCTTCCAACACTTTTGTTTCTTAAGCTCGTACACTGAGTAACTAAGTATATAGAGTTGTGAGGACATCTTGAAAGCTTGCATTCATCATCAAGTCTTCCAAACTCTGTTGTTCCTACTCCGGAACATGTATTTGTGTACCTGAATCTTTCTGTTCAACCAAGACTCATAAACATCATTAGTCAGAGTTTGTTTTATGTAAGTCAATCATCAAAATATTAAGGTAGTCAATTCAACAATATTCCCCCTTTTTGATGATGACAAACAAAAACAAACTCGGTTAAACAAAACAAACATCCAAGCAATTAGAGTAACCAATACTTAAATAAAACAATTAAATTATTTAAAGCAATAAAATAAACTAAGGATAAAGAAGTCTCCATCATTCATGAAATTAATAAATTGTGAAATTTATACCTTTACTTAAATGATGAAGACTTGAAGGGAATCGGTTTGAGTCCAGCTTTCTGAGTTTGTTCTTCTCTTCCCCCTTTTGACATTATCAAAATGATAGAAAGAGCATGCTATATATAGTACTAAACTACGGAGGGAGTAGTAAATCTGAATTCATGAACGATTAAGCATGCGCACACAGTTCATATGCAACCAAAATGAAAACATCAAATTCAAAGACAAACTTAGCCAGTTTAATACAAACCGAAATAAAACAAAATAAAGTGTTCAAAACAAGCCAAACAAAATAAAATTGAAGGACAATATCACTGTTTAATAAATCACAAGAAAGAGTGGGGTAGGTTTGTTTTGCAAAGGGCTAGGAAATGGTAGTAGCTTCATGGTAAGGTAACATCCTTGATCGCATCGAGAATGGTCTTGTAACAACTTTGCTTCACTTTAGCTTTGAGTTTCTGAGCCGAGGAGTCCATATGAGCATTTACTTTATCTTCCAGAGAAAGCATCTGAGTTTGCAGCCCCTCAACTTTAGTAGCCAGGTTATCCACTTTAGAAGAAAGGTTAGTTATACTCTGTGTAAGTGCAGTGGACAAAAGCTTAAGTTCCTCCTGGATTTGCAAGAAACTTGGACCAGAGCTAAAAGCACTGAAGCCGAGACTAGAAGTACGAGGCTGTAAAGCAGGTGGAGAAGGTGTGGTTTGGTGAGGAGGGGATGTAATTGGAGGTGGTGATGGAGTTTCTTCTGGAACAGATGAGGAGGGACCCTTCAGAAACTTTGGTTGAATTATCATCCAACTCAACAATAACAAGCTCAGATTGCATGGTTCTGGGTTTAGATGTAGCAAGTCTGATACTTCTCCTTCTTCTTCCTGTTACAGGGGTGTGTTTGACAGAGCCCCCAATTTCCTGAAGCAACTCTTTCATTAATTTCTCTTGATCATCCTCTTCCTCTTTCTCACTCTCATTCTCTTTTTCTATTGTATCACTCTCACTCTCTTTTTCTATTGTATCTTTCTCTTTTTCTTTTTCTCCTGCTTCCTCTGATTCACCTTCTGTTTTCTCTCCTTTGCTACTCTTCTTTTCTACTGCCCCATCACTCTTGTCTTCTTCGACCTCTTTGTCACTATCTTTTTCTGTTTCTTTCTCACCAATTTCTTCTGTCTTTTTCTCACTTATCTTCCTCTTTCTTTTCTCCTTCCCCCTCACCGTGTTCCCCCTCAGACTCACTTTGCACATCAGATGCAAAAAAAAACATTCCCATTCACCACTTTTAAATTCAGCTTTAACAATGATTTTTCTTGAAGGATGTGTTCAGGCTTGAGAATGTAATTCTCGATGAATGATGGTTGAGAGTTTAGTGGGGTAAGGTAAAGGATTTTGTGATTTACTTACAATGATTAAGATAAAATAAGAATTAAAGATAAAGATAAAAAATAAGATAAAATCTAATTGAGAAAATAAAAAAATCTTTTTGTTGTTTTGAAATTTATAAGATAAAATTAATAAAAAGATAAAAATTGAAAGATAAAGAAAATTAAAAATTACGAAAGAAAAAAAATTCCAGTAAGTTACTTCAAAGTAAAATACTGGTTGACCTGTACAGAGCTTTTCACAAAGGAACTTGGAAAATAATATGGCTTAATTTGTCTTCTTCATCAACATAATCACATGATCACACACTCATTAGAATTACACACTCTTTCATTGCAAGATTCGAGATTATGTTTTTCACACCAAGGTTATATATAGCAATGCTAAGTCGTTTCACTAAGACATACCTTAGGGTTCCAAGAAGAACTGCTCAATTCAGCTTTATCATTCCGAGTTCCAATCGCATCTTTTCGAATTTTTTCTACTCAAAGGCTTTGTTAGAATGTCAGCAATTTGATATTCAGTTTGTACAAATTCTAGTTTAATAGAGCCTTTTTCCACATTGTCTTTTAGAAAATGATGCCTAACATGAATATGCTTTACACGTGAATGATGTACTGGATCTTTTGATATGCAAATAGCACTTGTATTATCACAGTATATTGGAACACATTCAAGAACTATGCCAAAATCACGTAATTGTTGTTTTATCCACAACAGTTGTGAGCAACATGCAGCAGCTGCTACGTATTCTGCTTCTGCTGTGGATAAAGCAACTGTATTCTGTTTCTTGGAACTCCAAGAAACTAAACAAGATCCTAGGAATTGGACCATACCTGATGTACTTTTTCTATTCACCAAATCCCCAGCATAGTCGGCATCGGCAAATCCAGTAAGATCATATGTGTCACTTCTTGGGTAGAATAAACTCAAGTCGTCAGTTCCTTTGAGATATCTCAGTATTCTCTTGACGGCTGTTAGATGCGATTCTTTGGGGTTTGATTGGAACCTAGCACACAGACCAACACTAAAAGAAATGTCAGGTCTACTTGCAGTTAAGTATAGTAAGGAACCAATTATACCTCTGTACTTTGTCTGGTCCACACAAGTTCCTGAGGGATCTTCGTCTAATCTAGAGTTAGTTCCCATAGGAGTGTGGTTAGTCTTTGCGCTGTCAAGGTTATACTTTTTCAGGAGTTCCTTGACATATTTTTGCTGATGTATAAATATTCCTGATTCTATTTGTTTGATCTGCATTCCTAAAAAGAAATTGAGTTCCCCCATCATGCTCATTTGGAACTCACTGCACATCAAGTCAGCAAAGTACTTGCACAAAGATTCGTTAGTTGCACCAAATATAATATCATCAACATAGATCTGTACAACTAAGAGATTAGTTCCTTTAGATTTTGAAAACAAAGTTTTATCAATTTTTCCTCGTTTAAAATCATTTTCCAAAAGGAACTTAGACAATCTTTCATACCATGCTCTTGGAGCCTGTTTTAGCCCGTAGAGAGCCTTATCAAGTTTAAAAACATGGTTTGGAAAGTTTGGATTCTCAAATCCAGGGGGTTGATCGACGTAAACTATTTATTTTAATAAACCATTCAAAAACGCACACTTTACGTCCATCTGATACAGTTTAAAACCCATAAAAGCAGCAAAAGATATTAAAATTCTAATAGCCTCAAGTCTAGCAACAGGAGCAAATGTTTCCTCAAAATCAATATCTTCCTGTTGGTTATATCCCTTTACAACCAACCTAGCCTTATTTCTTACAATTGTACCATATTCATCAAGTTTGTTTCGAAAGACCCATTTTAAACCTATGACCTTTTTATCTAGTGGCTTAGGTTCAAGATGCCATACCTGATTTCTTTCGAATTCATTAAGTTCCTCTTGCATGGCTATAATCCAGTCAGGGTCTTCTAAGGCTTCTTTA